TGTCCAGGGTAGAGTTGAAAGTTGAGTAGCTGCAACAGAAACAATACAGTCCACAGACAGTAAAAGATTTACTATCTGGTCTTTTACATTTAAAAATAAAGTGGCCTATTCTACTGAATAAAGATACAAAGTCTTTTTCACTGATTTTAATCAACTAAAATTACTAACCAAACGCCTTCTACTAAAAAAGCACAAACAATTTTTCTCCTAATATTTAGATTTATAAATGTATACAACTAATTTTAATTCCACTGAGATCTAAATTTAGTGATTCTTCTAGAAACACATTCATGTCCCAATGATTATAAAAGGCAAACCAGTTTCCTTACCTGGTTTCAGTTTGCATATACTGCAAATATACAAAAAATAAGGGTATTCTGATATGCCATTTAAATTAAAATTTTTTATTCTGTTAGAATAAAAATTCAGGATTCAGAGACCATGTTTGCTTCAGGAAGAATAGATTAATCTCAGATAAACTTAACCACAAGGGGGGAGGTGGAAGGGAATATGACTGTGAGTTAAACAGTTATAATGATTTCATTACTACAGAAAAACTAATTCATAACTACAGAAAAAATGTTTAACACTTTAAGAATAGTGAAACTAAAAACTGAACAGAAATTTGCCCCAAAGGACTGATACACAAATTTGAATACAAAATCAAGAGTTTTAAGAATAAAAAGCCTATCTGTATACAAGAAAATGATCTTTTAAAACATTTTCTCTAGGAAATTCCCCTCCTTCTGAGTTATGTATTTTCAATTCTATCCGTACATTTTCCCTACTCTAAAATTGATACTACATCCTAAATGCTTATTTACCTATATGAATAAATACAACCCTTCCAAACTAAAATCTTAACAAAGGCAGAAATCACATCTTTTGCTTACCACCACAACCCTAATGTCTTACATGAAGACAAACACATAGTAGGCACTCAATAAATATTTGCAAAATGAATTTTAAAAGAAGAAAACATGTGGTAGAAATTCAATACAACCTACACATTCCACATTATTACCTAAAATGCGTAAAACAAAACTTATATGTGTTTGATCATAACACTTCTATTTCATATTTTAATTAGCTTAGTGTTCTGGCTTATAAACTTCAGTTCAGGGGTAATACATGGTGAATATTATATCCTCTGTTTAGCTTTATTTAAGGGTTCTTTACAAAAAAATTGTTTCAATCACTGGTTTAGGAGATCAGAATATTTGCAACAATTAGGCTAGACAGACACAGCTAAATCTATTTTTCAGGGGGGGAGGGGAAGCATACCGTATCTCTACAATATACAGTGTGAACATTCAGAAAGTACTAATAACCCAATTACTTCCCAGTTAACACTTTTATCTAAAAATAATACTCATTTTCTGACAGCAGGTACCAAAGTATATTTCTTATGCCATTTGGAGCACTAGAACTGACTTTTAATTCAAAAAAGTCTAAAGCACATGACATAAGGGAGGATGAAACACATCTATAAACCTAAATCACTAGGAAACGGTCTACTTCCTAATCCTACTGCAAGGTTAAGTCAAGAAGTACACAGTTTTAGGAGATGTCCCTAAATTTTTAACCATGGAGCAGAGGAGGAATAATGAGCCATCTTTGAAAAAATATAAGTTTCTTATAAATAATTTGGGTTCCTCTAGTGAGGAAAATGAATTATGGACAGCCAATACCTACAGGTATCTACTTTCATAAAAGTTTTTCTAAAGGAGTAGCAGAAAGATGACTGCCCAAAGAATTCCCAGAAAGAGCTTCTAAGAAACAGATACATGACTGCACTGTATTTAATTTGAAAAAAGATTAAGAGGTTTTCTCATATTCCAAACGAGTCAGGTAAAAAGTACTATTTTTCCACACTTGGTAGTGGTAGTGATAAAAACATGTATAAAAATTAGAAAAATTTAAAAGCATTTTCATACAAATATGATTTGAACAGTATCAAACCTAGAATACTATCAAGGGCAGTTATTTCACCCTTATTTTATTGCTAATTCTTCATTTACATATATGATAAAGCACATTTGACAGGAAGCAGCTCAGACAGTTTTCATTCATAACACAGGGTCCATAACACAATATATTGCTATTTACAAATATGCAAATGTGAACTTCTGGGCCAAAAAGCCTAAAATAACAGTAAAACCTCCCCTTCTAAACAGATTATATTACTATATCTGTTACTAATATAGAAGAATATTAGAAACACCAGGGACTTTGGAAGTAGATTTTGATTTCAACTCAGCTACTTACTGATTTATGATCTTTGATTTTCTAGTCTATAAAAGGAGATAACAATAGAAACTATAAAGGGTCCAAAAGGTTCAATGAGTAATATATATAAAGTGCTTACATAAAATTAATGTACGAAAGAGGTTTTAATCCAGGCTATTGTTATCATTCAATAAATCTTTATTTTCCTTTCCCTTCAATTAGCATACAGTTAGTGTCCTTGTATCTACGACTCCTTTAATAATAGGACTCTGCAGATGAACATCTCAGGAGAGATCAAAACTTTTGAGCTATGTCACTCATTTGCTGTCATTCAGTCAAAACTGACTCACAGGAATCCTATAAGCTGCATGGATAACCTCAATTACTTGCTCAAATCCAGTCTACTGAGGTGAGGTGAAAGGAAAATGCTTCACTTTTCTTCCCCTTTTCTACCATTCATCGTTTGTTACAAAAAGAAAACTTTAAAAAAAAAGAAAAGTACTGTTTAAAAGGAGGATAAGCAGAAGGAAGAAATTCAGAATTGACAGCTCTATAAAGATAGTAACTTGATAGGGGAATGGCAGGGGAGGGAGTATGGGAAAAATGGATAGCTAACACAATGAGTAGAAAAAATGTTCTGGAATAGATTGTGGTAATGACGGCACAAATATTGATTGAACGATTAAATTATGATGTATAAGAAAAACCATTGAGCTATATATATATGAAACTACTGATAAAGAGCACAGACGTTAAGTGTTGGCAAAAGTGTGTACAAATTAGAATGTGTACGTAAGTTTATATAAAACTTTCTTAAAAACAGTTGGCAACTCCTCAAAAAAGTTAAAGATACACTTTTCAACTGAACTCTTCCTATGTTTTGTTATTGGATTTTTGTTGGTGTATATTTTTCTTATACTCCAAAACCAAACTGCAAATTTACTGCCACTGAGCCAGTGATGACTCTCATTCCCCCTGTGAGTTTCTGAGACTTGTTAACTCTACTTATGGGAGTAGAAAGCCTCCTTTTTCTCTCGTGGAGCCACTGGTGGTTTTAAACTGTTGACTTGAGGATCGTAGCCAAAACTGTAACCACTATGCCATCAGGGTTCCTATATGAAATCCAAAATAGGTAGATCAATAGAGACAGAAACTGGATTAATAGTTTCTTGGGATTGGGGCAAAATGGGGCTCTAAGCAACAATGAGTACATGAAAGAACAAAGTTTTCTAAAACTGATTGTAGTAATAATTGCACAACTTTCAATATGTTTAAACTATGTATGTGATATGTGAATTGTATGTCAATGTAACTTTTTTCTTTAAGGTAAGCAGAAGGGAGAGGTAAGGGAATATCTGGAAATAGGATCCAATTAAAAAAAAACAGATGTATCATGAAGTAGCAGGAAAAGAGAATCTGAGGAATTAAAACAACCTAATCTCTCTGAATTCTAGGAAAACTATATGCAAAAAGATACTCAACACATTAAATGAGAGCACCTTCCTATCAACAGTGTAAATAGCAAAATTCAATTAACTGTGAAATGCTACAAGAAAGTCTTGTTCTAGGGAAAGGTAACTTACCTGCCCTACTTTCTTCAAATAAACTGAGAAGAGAAATTGGTACTTGTTCTAAGAGTCTTGGCCATAATAAATAAAAAGAAAAGTAATGGCAATGACGGTTTAAAAAATACCCAGGAACTTCACTTAAAAAATAAAATAGAAAAAAAGGAAAATAAAGGGTATGTAAGGGCTCTTTTACAAGGACTCCTGGAGGCACTCTGGAACAGGTCATTGGGCTGTTAATGATCAGTAGCTCTAACCTACCAGCTCCTCTACAAGAGAAAGATGAAGCTGTCTGCTCCCATAAAGATGTACTATCTCAGAAACCCAACATAGGAACACTATGAGTCAAAATCAACTCAATGGCATTAGGGGTATGGGGTCTTCCTCTGAGCAGAGTATCTCCTTTATCCTCTCAGCATCTACCTTATTACTACCAAAATGAATCTGAAAACACAGAAGACATTGCTAAGAGGCAAAAACTAAATAAAGATCAAAGGTTCGTGTGAATTTTTCGGTCCCTCTAAAGGCTAAAAACATGTTTTTCCCTTAGGTCATGTCTCATGGACTCTTAAACAGCAAGTCAAGAATACCAAATGGCATAACAGAGATATACCTACCAGCTGTCAAGGATGACTCAAATCCATCATTAATGAAACAGCTGAGGTGCTACTTCTTCATATAATTTTGAACTGCTACAAGTGTAAAGAGTACTATTTAACACTGGGAAAAGGGCAGGAAAGAACAATAGGCATATTAATGAATTACGTTTGCTTACCATTTAACGTAAGTTATGTTTTAAATGAAATGTACTGCTTTGATTGAAGCCATCAGTACCCAATAATGAAAGACTATGAGATAAATAAATGTTTAAAATCACAGCTAGGACCCAGTCTCCTTCAAATGAAAACCACCTATAAATATGTAACATGTATTACTTTAACACAGTATGTTCTTCAGAAGAAAATGTAAAGAGAATTCTAATTCATTAGTATGCTATTGTTCTGTCCAACTACAGACAAGTTTATAGATAACATGTCTAACAAATGGGACCAAAGTTCTCTTTGAAAAAAATTACAGGTGATAAAATTTCAAAAACGCTAGAGTATATATATTGTATGCCAATCTAAAACTCTATTAATGTTAAATAGAACAATTATCAATTTGATAGTAGGAATGTGGAAAGAGGAAAATAACTATTGGACCTACCCTATGTAATATTTCTAAAACCTTTAATGCAGTATGAAGAAAATTGTTGAAAATTCTTCTTTCAGAAGGGGGAATGCCGATCTTGAAGAGTTTCAAAAGATGTACCACAACTTCCTTAAAAAGTTCTACTATCTTGAGGAATAGTGGAGGTTCAAGTACTGACCACCAGTTTTCTGTTATTAAAGAGTGAACATGCAAATAAATGAACAAAAAAAAATCACAATTTTCAAAATCATACTGATTTTTTCTTCTAAACAGTGGATTTTTTACACTTTGAAAATCCCAGGAAAATGCACATAACACAATATTTGGAATGTTTCTCGTTTATAATACCACCCCTCCACCCTCCAAGTACACTAGTCCTAAAGTTAAGAAAATTAAGTAAAATATCAAAGACCTATGGAATTTATATTTTTGTTTACTCTATTATATTAAAAATTCACGCTCTAATATTAAAACCAGTAATAAAAAGTATTTTGAAAATTATAATTTTAATATCTAAAGAAAACACTTGAAATTATATTACTCTAGTACTCAAGGATTTTTTGAAGTGTTATCTCTAGAGTTGACATAATAGAAGTACCATCTTTAAAAAGGTACATTATTAATCCTAAATAATACAGAATCTGAACATTTTAAAGCATACTATGTATGCCCTCCCCCACATTCACTATTTGTAGTTATTAACATTAGCAAATAACACAATAATCCTATGAAACAGACAAAACGTTTTTAAAACATCTAATAAGAAGGAAGCAATCCTCTTCAAGTCCCTACTTTACTCAAATATTCCTGGGTAATTCCCTCAGATTCCTGGATTCTATCCCTTGCCTGTTGTTTCTTCTACTTATCTTCAGCTTAAAATTCCTTGTCCTGATTTTATTACTTCTACGTATCTCAGCGCCACATATCTGTAAAATACTATTTAGTAAGGAAAGCACTGTGCTAAGTGTAGCAAGCAAACTGAAAAGGCCAGGAGATAGAGCTGGAATCCATACAAGTAGAAAAATCAAGGTAAGAAAAGTTTACTTCCCAAACACAGAGATCAGGTTAGCACTAGATTCTCTTCTCAAGGAAGGAATAAAATCAAAACATCAGCAAAAGTCAGACACAAGGCAAAGGGTTGACACCAAAATTCAAAAAGAATTTACTATATTTCTTTACTATTAAGATCATTCTCCAGAGGATGGGAGAGGGGAATATGGAAAACAGATTTTATCTTTACTGACACACTCTCTGCGGTTCTGTTCAGTTAAAATACTAACATCTAAGAACATGCTTTGCAATAATTACAAATGAGTAGAAAAAGCAACAAAAGCAAACCCACATTTATTTTTTTCCTACAACAAGGCACTTTCCTTTAAAGAGAAAAGGTTTCAAAAGAAAGTAATATGGAAATTCTTACCAAGTACTTTCAGTGGTGCCTTTTCTAGGTTCACAAGAGCTGTACCAAAGGGAATTGCTATTGTTGTGAAATTGTTGGAATCACTCATCAGGGGACATTCTGGCAGAGTAAGATAAAACCTCAGCGCTTCAACATCAGGTAAGGAGCTAGTCAATTTAGGAATAAGATTCTTTTCCAAACTAGCTGCCACCTATATTTTGACAAAAAGTACAACCTAATTCATTTCAAATGAATGCACTTTCAAAAAAATGAAAAAACTCTTTTATTACAGCAAATGTGAAATATGAAGAAGAAAAAGGAAGATAACGTCTTGCAAGGAATGTACTTTGGATCACAATGAAAATTAATGATTTAAGAAAACAATAAAATTTTATGTACAAACCTCAACTTAAATTCTCTAATATCTATATATACATTTAAGTAATTAAGGGCTTATTACAAGTGTTTAGATATTTGACAGTTCAGTTACATATATTTTAAAATAAAACCTCACGATTCTAATTCTTCAACTAGCATATTTCATAAAATCACAAAGTACATCATAAGACTATTAAACATAAAGTTACTTAGGCTGTAAACATATAACATGGAGTGAAAAAAACTAATAGGCTAAATAATACAAATATATTTTAAAAACTAACCTGTTGAGATATCTGAGGATGATCGGGTTGTATAAGTCTGTGGAATAAAAGTCTAGCAGCAGTCATATCAACCCCTGAAAATCTGACGCCCGTTCTATAGTGATCATCATTGCTTAAAAAATAAAAAAAAAAGTTATATCTGTGTATATATTTTCTAATTTAATTTCAACTTATTTCACCTATTAATATAAAAAATTTAGCATACCATTGAATTTTTACTTACCTAACAGCTAAAAAACTTCCATTTAGGCAACCAGAGGAAGAAAATGTTCCATCTATCTCACTAAAAAAATTCAAAAATCAAAGAGTAATTTAACTAATGGTTTTTCTTAAAACAAAAAACATTTTATTTTCTATCTAATGCTACACAACACTCCTCTGATATCGAAATAGACTACAATGTTATTGCACAAATTACTAACAGATTAAGCAGCTGATAAAAGCATTACCATTTACCCTGGACTTTCTCAAATATTACTTTCATCCTTTTGACTCATCAAAGCAATAAGATATTCTGCAAAAAATTGTTACATATTTTTAAAACCAGAAATATTCTCTTGTAAGTTTTAAAAATCCACAAATGGTGAACTGAATCTGGGATGTTAACTTTTGAAGCCCACACTTGATTTTTTCAGAAGAACTTTCATTTGGAAAAATAATCTAGAATAAAAAAAATGATGTCAAAGTGATCTACCTAAATACTAACATAATCAACACAAAATCCTAGGGATTACATAATCTCTTAAGTAAAATATCCAAGAAAGAAATAATGCTCAAATCATGTAGTTGGTACGAAAGTTAAGATAGTAACCACCATGAAGTCAAAAGGAACATTTTCATCTCAGACCTAAAGCCCTAAACACTTTCAGTTATCATTTACATCATCTCTTTGTTGCTGCTAGGTGCCATCAAGTTAGTTTCAGTCCGTAGGAACCTTATGCACAACAACAACAAAAATGAAATACTGCCCAGTCCTGTGCCATACTCCAGGCTCATGAAAATGAGCCCTGGTGATGCAGTGGATTTAGTACTGGACTGTGGTTCAAGCACACCAACTGCTCCTAAGTAGCAAGATGAGGCAATATTCAACCATAAAAAATTAAAGTCTCAAAAACCCTAAAGAGCAGATCTAATCTGCTCCATAGAGTCATTATCAGCTGGAGTTTACTCGATGGCAGTGGGTTTGGTGTTTTTGGTTATACATATGAAAGAAATGGGAATTTTAGATGAGGTCTTTAACAATATCCATTATTTTGGAAAGTTTTACCCCAAGTAAAAACTTGCTCTATGCTGAGGGTGGGTAGAGGGGGTGGCAAGAGATTGTGATCATGTATGTTTGTTAAAGAGTTTTTCTTACTTGGCTATCTCTACAGGAAACCTTCCAGAAGGGAAACTCAGCCATTTCTGCACTAGAGCTTCATTTACAGTCCAGATCTGCTTTGAAGGATCAGGATATCTAAAGTCATCTGGTGGCCCACAGTTCTAAAATGTACGATAAGAAGATTTGTCAAAAAGGAAAGAAGATATTATAAATGAAACCAAGACACAAGCATAGTAACAATTTATATGACGATACTATTACCTGGGGACAAGAGTAATGTGAAAAGCTTTGATCTCCACCTGAGAAAATTCTTTTAACACAGAAATAATCTTCATGATCTGAAAAATAAATTATTAAAATCCATAATTTAAATCAAAACGTTTAGAGCATCCAGTTGTTGAGAATATGCACAACAAAAAAACACCAATTCAATCTTTCTAAATATACAATTTGGTGACTGATTTATATTCTTCGAGTTGTACAATCATTTTCATCCTCCTTTTCTGTGTTGTTTCTCCCTTATTAATGTAAATGCACTGCCCTCTCTAAGGTTATTAAACCTCTCAAATTGATATTGTCAATTTGGTCCCGCATACTAAAAACATAAAATAAAACAAACCATCAAGTCAATTTCAACCATTTTTATGAATAAGGCTGAACTATAAGCTTTAAGAAGACTCCAGAGGATATTTTTTATTTAAGTTTTAAAGATTATCTCAGGACTATAGTGTGTTAGACTAGAGAATGCCTGGAGTCCATGAGAATTTCAATTTCTGGTCTGCATTTCCCCATTTTGAAAATAATTTTTCTATAGAATGCCTGATCAAAATATTTTTAAAATTTTCACTCAGTACCATCCATTTCTCCTGGTCTCATGGTCAAGTAGTTAGTAGCTCATGGAAACAACCAGCCACACATTCCATTTTCTCACCCTATTCACCACTCTCCTTTCTCTGTTACTCCACACAAATAAAGAGCACTTGTACCTTAAATGGTCTCAAATATGTTTTCAAGTGTTTTTTGGTATCATCTAACGTAATTGAGTTCTTCTCATGTATGAGGTGAAACTGACCCAATAGTGTATAATAAATAATCTCATAAGCATAAGCAGTATTTGATAAGTTTACAAGTTTTTGTAAACATACACAAAAATTTTATTTCTTGGGATATAAGGGGATTTCAGAGAGGTAGTAGCAAAATAAAATTAAAAGATAATGGAATTTTTGCACAAACTTTTTGAAACCTACTCTTTTATCTTTACTATAGGTTCAGTTCAAAATGAAGATGAAAATAGAGAGAGCTCGGAAGAAAATAAGTTAAAAATATTGGTTCTTAAAAAGACATACATCCTGGAAATAAACCTCGAAGTTGGTGGGCAACACATGATATTTCACCAGATCTGATTGGAAAACAGTAAAAAGGGTTACCTGACAGACCTGGGACTATTTACAGGTTTCCCACCTCTTTTCTTTCTTTTTACTTTTTCTCATGTCTTATCCACAGTAGGATAGGCAGGATAACCAATCCTGAGAAGAAAACAACAGGGCCAACAGCTCCTGGGAGAAGGAAGAGATGGAGGTGGGCAAAAGGGAAGGGGAAGCCAACACACCTAGGGATAAGGGAACAATACAAGACCTAAAATCGATGGTGAGGAGCATGTAGAACGCCTGATGGGGTTTGAGAGTGTCCAACGTAGCCAAGAGAAAGTATTGGGAATCGAATGACAATCGAACATGATAGAAGAACAGGAGTAAAGTAAAAAGAAATAGTATTTCTCAGGCACCTGGGACCCTAAATTTTCTTGTGCTAACTGCGCCTGCGCTAGCTGCAAGCCCTGCAGATTTTTGAACACGAATTCTTTGTTTTTTTCTGGCTATCATTTGCTTGGGAGTAGTCTCAGCTGTTCTAAATTATGATCAAAGTCTAGATGTGCGGTGGAATCAGTGGACATCAACATACAAGAGACCATATGGTGCGAATGAAGACAGCTGGAGAAGAGCAGTCTGGGAGAAAAATATGAAGATGCTTGAACTGCACAATCAAGAATACAGCCCAGGGAAGCATGGCTTCACCTTGAGCATGAATGCTTTTGAAGTGACATGACCAATGACGAATTCAGGCAGGTAATGAATGGCTTTCAAATGCAGAAACTTAATAAACGGAAGGCATTCCATGAACCTCCTTCTGATAATATCCCCCAATCTGTGGATTAGCATCAGAAAAGCTATGTGACCCCTGCGAAGAATCGGGGTCAGTATGGTTCTTGTTGGGCTTTTAGTGAAACTGGTGCCCTTGAAGGACAAATGTTCCGGAAAACTGGCAGAACCAGGTGGCCTGAAGGCAATGAGGGCTGCAATGATGGCCTCATGCATAATGCTTTCCAGTGTGTTCTTCACAATGGAGGCCTGGATTCAGAGGGATTTTATCCATATCTTAGAACAGACACAAGAGATTGTCACTACAATCCTCAGTATTCTGCTGCCAATGATACGGGCTTCATAAACATCCCTCAGCTGGAAAAGGCACTGATGAAGGCGGTGGCATGTGTGGGACCCATCTCTGCTGCTACTGATGCAAGCCAGATGACCTTCCAGTTCTATAAAGACGGAATTTATTTTGACTCAAGCTGCAGCAGCAAAGATCAGGACCATAGTATTCTGGTGGTTGGCTATGGCTTTGAAGGAAAAGACTCAGACTCAAACAACAAATTCTGGATTGTCAAGAACAGCTGGGGCACAATTTGGGGTGCATATGGGAACATAAAGTTGGCCAAAGAACCAAACAACCACTGGAATTGCTACAGCAGCCAGCTACCCTACCGTGTGAGATCACATGCACTAGGAAAAGGAAAATACCAGGATGGCTTTCCTGAAAGAGATGTTATCTGAAAACTGACCAGCCCTTATTGTTGGAATGAAATGCTTCAATCATTGAGGGTCCAAGTTGTGATTTTAATTCTGTCACATTTTTACACTGGTAAAACATTACCATGTTTTTAATATCTGCTGCAAACAGTTTTGTAATATTGACTCATTGCTTAATGCTATGACTTGAACTTCCATTAAAAAAGATGTATATAAAGTCTTACCTTTTTAATAAAACTTAAATTTCATGTGTAAAAAAAATAGTGGAAAGAACTAGGAGTCAAAAGACATTTAGAGGTATAAATATAGACATGCACATATGTGTACATATATTAATATAAAATGATAGAGACAGATCTATATACATATATTTAAATGTTTAGTATTAAGGTTGCAGATGGGCATTGGGTCTCTACTCAAGTACTCCCTCAACACAAGAACACTTTGTTCTAGTAACCTGGAATTTTGTGATTTTCACATTCCCTACACGATGGCTATAGTCAAAATGGGTGCATAAGCAAATGTGAAGAAAGCTGATAGTGCCCGGTTATCAAAAGACATAGCGTCCAGGGTCTTAAAGGCCTGAAGATAAACCAGAGGCCATCTAGCTGAGAAGCAACAAAGACTACAAAGAAGCAGCTCACCAGCCTGTGTGATCACGAGGTGTTGATGGGATCAGGTATCAGGCATCAGAAGACCCCAAACAAACAAATATACCAATACAAATGATGGGGTTCAGAGTGGAGACCCAAAACCCATCTGTACACAATTGGATATCCCCTCAAAGAGCAGCTTAAAAAAAGAACAAGACAGCAAGGGTGCAGTATAGCACTGATGGAGCAAACAACATTCCTCTAGTTCTTTAATGCTTCCTCCCCGCCACTATCATGACTCCAGTTCTACTTTATAAATCCGGCTAGACCGCATCATATACACTGGTACAGATCAGAGCTCTCAACACACGAAATCCAGTACAGATAAAGCCCTCAAGAATAGTAATGGGAGTAGCAATACCATAATGGTAGAGGGAAGGTGGCGGAAAAAGAAACAGGGAACTGACTATAACTGGGATACTAACAACAGAAACATGGGCGAAGGGAGACACCAGACAGTGTAAAACATGAAATAATAATTTATAATTTATCAGGGGTCCATGAGGGTGGGTGGATGGGGTAGGGAAGGAAAAGAGGAGCTGATACCAAGGCCTCAAGCATAAAGAAAATATTTTTAAAACATTGATGGCAACATATGTACAAATGTGTTTGATACAATTGATGTATGGGTTGTTATAAGAGTTGTAAGAACTCCCAATAAAATGATGTATCAATAAAAATAAATTAAAAAGCTAAATGAAATATACCTCATCATTTTCTTATTGATGTTAAGAAGTTCTATGACATTCTGAATACATTGCAGGAACAACAAAAAGATAAGCAATGTTATGGATTAAGAAATTTATAAATTTATTTTCTCTTTTAATAAAAGCTATCCAAAAGTAGTATGGCACACACAGCTTTTTGTTGCCAGTTATTTGGCAATAAGAAAATACATCAGCACTTAAGATGTCAAACATTATTAATAATGTTCTAAAACTGATTGTGGTGATAAATGAACAACTCATCAAACTATTGGATTGTATGATATGTGAATTTTATGCCAATAAAACTGTTTAAATCACAGCAAGCTTACATGACAGGAAACGAACTGACACATAAAATTGCCTAGGCCGTTTATCTTTGTGATAGCAGATGGTCGGATCTTCTCTTCAAAAGAACTGACAACATACACCAGGGGTCCCCAAACTTCTTAAACAGGGGGCCAGTTCACTGTCCCTCAGACCGGTTGGAGGGCCGGACTATAGTTTAAAAAAAACTATGAACAAATTCCTATGCACACTGCACATATCTTATTCTGAAGTGAAAAAACAAACGGGGCAAAAACACCGGCGGGCTGGATAAATGTCCTTGGTGGGTCGCATGTGGCCCACGGGCCGTAGTTTGAGGACGCCTGACATATGCTATACATATATTATAAAATTGCAACACCTAAACCAAATTATTTGTGTGCAATACACATTCGAGTTAATATAACACAATGAAAAGCCTGGGAAGGGTTGAGATCCTTATATATAGGGCTGAAAAATCAGGTTTTGTTTCAAGTTCAGACTCCATTTTGGATAGAATTAAGAATGTCAACAGGATTTGGAATTATGCGTTACAGGAAGAAATGTGGTGTTTTGAATAAACGTCTTTAAAATAACTTATAAAATATGTACCTAGGTGATATAAATGGTTAACAGGCTCAGTTACTAACTGAAGGTTTGGAGGCTCAAGTCTACCAGTGATACCTGAAAAGAAAGGACTGGTGATCTATTTCTGAGCAATCAGTCAATGACAGTTCTATGGAGCATACTTCTATTCATGTTGCTATGTTTTATTATCCTTTAACTCTAAGTGTAAACATATTGAATAAAAGAATGTCTATCACAGAACTTCTTAACATCAGTAAGGAAACAATGAGGTATATTTCATTTAGCTTATTTATTTTTATTAATACATCATTTTATTCGGAGCTCTTACAACTTTTCTTCATCTTGCTATTTTGACTTAATAATGTATATCTTGAAATTCTTCCATTTCAGACTTAAAAAGTTTCATCATTTAAGAACAGCATTTTAATATAAGCCGTAATGGATATAGCACACCTTTAATATACTAGCACTTACCAGTATCTGATGGACACTGCCCATTATAAGGTAACCAATTTCCTTTTACAGTGAAAGGACTTTTCCTGTTGCTGGTTGAACCAGTTCCTAGCTGCCCATTACCACCAAGCCCAAAAGAATAAATTCGTCCTGATGAAGGAACAAAAGCTGATGTGTGCTGCCTAGAACAGAATGATAGAAAACCTGAATTAATATTACTTTCCAAACAAGTCCATGTTTAAAAAGGCATAGAAAATATTACCTAATGCAAGTATTCTTTAAAAAGAACTTATCAATGAGAACTTTTCAGTTCTAAAATTTCTCTATATTCATTTATGACTTTATCCTAGACTAAATGCACTAATTCCACACATGCAGACAGCATTAGTCCAGAAAATTACCACAAACATTTAAAATTTAAAAGGTCCAGATTCATATTGTTATTCCTCATAATAGATGAATTCCAACTAAAGGTAGCATCTAACAAAGAGGTTCCCTATACACCCTTCCCTTCTGTCAGGTGCTAACCTATGAAGGTTCAGCAGTTGAGTACTACCCAAATTTTAGGCAAGTAAACCACTACTAATTAGAAGATACAGTACACAGGGTGACTTCCAATAATTCGTGGAAAAATTTAATTAAAAGATTAAAGGTTTATTAATATTAGGAAGCAAAAATCAGAAAGAATCAAATCAGTACTTTAATGTAAAGTAACGTCTAATGCTTCCTCTGTCGAAACGCTTGCAAAATTGCCCTTGTTTGCTATGAATGAGTAAAAGCAATGTTATGGTGGATAAGGACACTGGAGAAGCTTTCCTGGGCATTTTTCTGCTAAGCTTTTAGCTAGCTTCCTCAAGATTCTCTCATAACAAGCAAATGTTATCATTCTTTGGCCTTCCAGAGTCAAACAAAATGCTCTGAATACCTCAAACAACTGTTGCCATAACCTTTGCTCTTTACTCAAGTCTGCTTATGCCTTGATTGGACCACTTACTATACCTCTTGGTCTGACTCACTCCAATTGTGTCAATTCTGATGCTTAGCAACCTTATAGTCTAGGGTAGAACTGTTTATGAGGGTTTCTGAGACTGCAACTCTTTAATATGTGAGTTACATAATTGTCAATTTACGAGGAGTATGAGGGAAGGGGTGGAGTCTAGTCTGTCAATCGGATCATAGCCAATGAGGCCTCTCTGTGGGCATGGCCTTCTCCTGAGAATTCTGGGAAATCCAGTACTTCCTCCTTGGAGGCAGGAAACACTTCACTCTCTCTATGCCACTCCATGGGACATATTGCAGCTGACAAGACACATGGAACTACCCAAAGGCCCTGAGTCCCACAAGCCACATGGATGCAACCAGACCTCTGAAGCCAGAGAAACCACAAGAGGCCCCTGCCAGCACTGAGATGCTTACAACAGATATATGGGCTAGTATTGAACTTAAAGCCTTGGACTGACCTGGGTTGGAATGTTTTCTCAATGTTCAATTGCTCTTCTATATAAAGCTCTTTCTTATACATATGTGCCCATAGATTTGTTTCTCTAGTCTACCCAACTAACACACATTAGAAAGCCTTCTTTTCCTCCTGAGTGGTTATGGTTTCGAACTGCTTTGTGGTTTGCAGCCCAACACCTAGCCCACTATGCGACAGGGGCTCCTATACCTCCTTGGTAGCCAGTGCTCTAATTGTGTTTTGTGTTCGGGACCATACCCCATACTTCACACTGTATTAAATTCTTCCAAGAAATGCTCTAGGATTTGGATTTCCACGTGTTTAAATTTTCCATGGAAAGCTTTCCTCTATCTGTAGCTTATTGGGGCACCAACAGTAATGGCACACATCAAGCAGAAAGTTTGCTCAATTTTTCTATCAGAATTATATAAGCTGAACCAATTTAAAAGTCTACGGTACTGATGTTTTTCCTGCTAATCAATGATTTTTTTTCCCTTGAAAATTAATGTGGATGATCTGCCACTATAGTTTTTGTCCTATCCCTTCTTAAAATGAGCTATCCAATTATAAACTGATTTCTTTGGGGGCATTGTCCACATAAATATTTAATAAAACTTCAATGATTTCTTCCATTCAAGCTTCACCATAATTTCATGATGATTTGTTTTACTGGTGTTTATTTTTAATTTAAACAATAAAGTAAAAGTTTATTTTTACTTTAAAAAATCTGACGTTTGTTTTACTTTTAGTTGGAAAATTCAAGTTGCTCTAAGAGGGGCTCTTTTCAAACTGATATCTTATCCTTCTTAGTGCTTCAAACTATGTCCTGTTCAGACATTTTTTCCATTTACTTTTTGAAGATCCCCATAAATATCAATATACCAATGCATAATAGAAATGCTTCCTTTGTTTGGGGGAGATTGACTGCTATTTGCATGTACACAGACTCCTCTAGTGGAAGTAAACAAAAGAAACTGCAGAACTAAAGTCAAATGATCCACCAGTGTATTTTCAGTGATAGTAGTATTTCACTACTGTACATTTAGGAATGGAGTGAAATTATCATACAATTTAGTTCTTGTGTTATTCCATCTCAAGTTTTATGTCTTCAAATCTGAAAAGCTCTCAATTATTGTTTCTTTAAATATTATATCTCTCCTATTCATTCTAATATCTTTTAGAATAGTACACCTACTTACTTGCAATGCATGATTTTGCATTTATAACATTTTTTAAAATTTCATGTGGCAACACCTCCTATGGTGTGGGCCTCACATGGTACAAGGCACAAGCAGATGACATAAAAATGGAAAATTTACAAGAAAAAGGATGTTTATAAAGAATTTTTAAAAGAACCTGTAAGAAGTGAAAACCACAATAACCTTCATTAAGACTTCAAATGATATGTTTTATACATAGAATTAGAATTAAAGAACAGCAATAAAAAACAAAAATAATGAAGACAACAACAAAGGAGGACAAAGATAGAAAATAAAAGGTTATACATACATAAAGTAAGGTGATTTACTACATCACAGAACCTTTTATTAAACAAAAAATATCAAGATGTGAAGCTACTATTTTACATATTCTTTACCTACGTCTGTATCTACTTCTGTAGGCGGTGTTTCCATTTCTCTAACCCTTCCCTAAAGAAATCTGTGCTGTTTGGTTTACATAATGTCAAATGGAAGTTTTGGCATCCAAAGGCACTCAATTTAATTTCCTTTTATATGTTCAAGTTATTGAAATAGAGAGAATTTTATAAAGGCTAGATTAGGGTTAGAGTAAAGTGTCCCAAAGAAATCCCTAAAGACAATTCTTGATACCTGAGTTAGTCTGGTTAGACTAGAGAAACAAATCCATGGACACACATATGTGTATGAGAGTTTTATATACAAGAGCAATTGAACATTGAGAAAACATCCCAGCCCAGTCCAGTCCAAGACCATAAGTCTGATATTAGCCCATATGTTATGTCCGATACCAATCTATAAAGTCCCTTCAGACTCACAAAATACATGCAATGACGCCAAATGCAGGATGATCACAAGCCAGTGGGTAGAAAGTCTTTGGGTCCAGTGGCACTGGAAACATCTCAGCGCTGGCAGGGGTCTCTCTGTGGTTTCTCAGTCTTCCGAGGTCTGGTTGCATCCATGTGGCTTGTCTTCTGCAATGTGTCCCAGGGAGTAGCAGAGAGGGAGGTGTCTTCTGCCTCCAAGAAGGAAGATTTCCCAGAATTCTCAGGAAAAGGCCATGCCCACACAGAAGTCTCACTGGCTATCTTCAGATTAACAGCCTAGATTCCACCCCTATACTCTTACTCCTTAAACTGACACCAGATTAGGTGACTACCACAATACCCTTGACGAATAAGCAGGTGGCATGCATTGGGGTGTTAGAGAAATATTTCCTTGGTTAACTTTTCTGTCATATTCTCAACAATGCTGCTTTCTTTCCCTTTATTCCTCTTTTAAACACTTCTAATAAGTTCCCATGGTTAACCTGTGTCTTTCAAGAAAATCTCTTAAAGGACTATCCCTTTGAAATTCCAATACGTCTCCACAATGATATGAGTTGGTCTTGAAATTAACAGGTCCAGCAGATCCCCCTCAGAAGCTACTGTTTTGATTGGACTTATTTTTAAAATGCAGCCCAATGGGACTAAAACGTGTATTTCTGGGGTGTGGGGGGTGGAAATGGGAGGGACACACACACTGTCTACAATTATTTACTAGTTGCAAAGACATATCTAAACATGTTTTTGACCCACTTTAAAGAACAAACAGTGTATGCATGAACCACATTTTCAGGTCCTCAGCCTTTCAGTCACATGACCCCCAGTTTCTGGTCTGCTTGGGCAAGTGCTAGAAAGCTCCTTTAATACTAAGAGATACCTAAAGAGTACCCTATTCTGCAAGCAGCCTCCTGCATGAAGGCATTTGGCTTTATTTGTTTCTTGGGTCAACTTCATGGCTGTGCTTCACAATCTTGGCACTGCTCCTCTGCTCACCTTAAGTCAAGGTATGTCAGTGATGTATCTGCTCCACTTCTGGCTCTTCTTTCCTGATGGTTGCAGGGTTCCCTTCTTGCTTCCAAAATGGCTCTTACATCCAGAGAAATGGCAAAACTGACCAATCCCCTCCTAAGAGTCCTCTACCCCTTATGTATATATACACTCCCAACGACTCATGTGGTGAGAATTACAGACTATGGATATAATATCCACACCGAGTAATTTGACTTCACTACATATGCTATATACAATATACACAGTATTACAAACATATAATAAACATCTTGCCTCAAATTTGTTTCAACAAGAAAAAGGTAAAGAGATACAGAATAAGAGAAAGGTGCTCTGCCTATTAAGACTCCTGAACAACAAGGCATTTGGAGGTGATTGCTATACTTTAGCTATTTACATTTGTTAAACAAATGTGAGTGTTAAAAAGACTAAAAATTTTTTATATATATATATATTAATAGCTTACCTTCCACACGCAATCTGAGTGACAATGCTTCCCATAAGTTCAAAGACTTTTCTTGGGTTAATTTCATGACTAGTAGAGTTATGACCCAACTGACCATAACCTCCAGCTCCAAAAGTAAACACTCCACCTTCCTAAAAGGACAAAACGTAGTATATCATTAGAAGATCCAATTTATTTACTTTTTCTTTTTCTATTTTTAATCATTTTATTAGGGGCTCATACAACTCTTATCACAATCCATACATACATCAATTGTGTAAAGCAGATTTGTACATTCACTGCCCTCATCATTTTCAAAACATTTGCTCTCCACTTAAGCCCCTGGCATCAGGTCCTCATTTTTTCCCCCTCCCTCTCCCTCATGAACCCTTGATAATTTATAAGTTATTATTTTGTCCTATCTTGAGAAGAGCTAATTTTTAAAAAATTTTGAGACTAATTTTCAGAGGCTAAAAAGCTGATCTGAAATATAGTCGTATTTTTTAATTGTCCTAATTTAATTGTCAGCTAACAAAGGGCTTTTAAGGTAAAATATCAAAACTTTAGGTCCAAGCTGAAGGTTAAGTACTTCCACACATTTTTTTAAAATTATGTAACCACGATATTTAAAGTTAACACTAAAGAAATACTAACAGTCATCTCTTTGCAGTGTCTTTCACCAGCATTATACCCTAGTGAAATTTCACCTATGAAACTTCACAAATAAAAAACTGCCATTGTCTAGGTCTTCAAACTCATTGTGCTTTGAGCATAAAGCTCTTCAAAGAGTATATGTAATCAGACTGCACAAATGTGACTATTTTTAGGTATAGCTACTATAATGTAGAATTGTTCTTCCAAATAAATCTTTTAAATATGTAAATAGATTAGAAGTGCAACGGCAACTTAGTACCACCACAATGAAAATTTTTCAATTCAACGTATTTTCTTCACAGCTTTAAGTACATATACAATTTTATATTCTCTCATTATTTAATAATCTACATATTTTATGATGTATTTACATAGCTAAGGAAAGAAATATATTTTTCAAACCTTTTTATCATAGAAAATTATAAACAAATATACAGACAAAAAGATAAAATACAATAAACCATCATGTAAACATCACTCCATTTCAACAACAGGGGAAACACATAATCTTGTTTTATCAATGATTCCTCTACTTTCCTTTTTTGGCAGGAGAAACCACTGGACTACCTACTTACCCACCTACCTATTTCTATGACTTTTCCCTCCCTCAAAATTCAATGGTTTAAGTTGGAATACTTTTTTTTTTAATTGGAATACTTTTAAAGCAAATTATGGTCATCAAATAATCACACCTATATATGCTTATACATGTCCAATGGCACATATCTCAAAAGATGAGCTTTTAAAAGAAATCCTAATACCATTATAACAGAATTACACCATCACGTATTTACATATATAGCCACAATACTACTAACAAAACCAAACTCATTGCCACCAAGTTGATTCCAACTCATAGCAACCCTGTAAGACAAGGTAGACCTTGACCCTTGTGTTTCCAAGACTGTAAAACTTACAGAAGTAGAAAGTTTCATCTTCCTCCCATGGAGGAACTGTTGAGCTTGTGGTTAGCAAGCCCAATGTGCAACTCACTGAAGCTCCTTACAATAATACTACAATATATAATGAAATTAATATTTCTTGATATCATTGAATACCCAGGCCATGTTTAAATTTCCCTATATTGTTGCATTATCTCCGACAGAAGTTCTCAATGGTGACATTTAAAGACAGGTAAGGGGGCCAAAATGTGTCCGTCTATTCTGTCCCCACTAAACTGAATGCTGACTTTTGCTTACATTCATGATCTTCATCAGGTAAGGCAAAACAGTGATTTGTGTGTGTGTGAAATAGTGATTTTCTAATTTTAAAATTTCTTGTATACTTACTAGTCTTAATTATATTACAAATAACGTTTATCCTCATCACGTATTAAATTAATTAGGTAAATTAAAATAAAATCTATAAATGTGGATTTACCAATTTTCATAAAAATTAGTTTTCTCTAAGCAACCACCTTATAGAACAAATTTTGTAATGATTTAGGAATATCATTATAAACCCATGATTTTTACATATTGTATATACTCGTGTATAAGCCGGGCTTTCCAGCACATTTTTATGCAGTTTTTTGTGGTAAAATTAGGTGCCTTGGCTGATATAAGGTCAGCTTATACTCAAGTAATATGGTATATTAGGTTGTTATTTTTGCAGCCCTTTTTTTTTTGGTACCTAGTGAGAGCTTCTTCAAATTGTCCTTCTGATATAACATCAGTATTCCTGCCTTTCATCTTACAACAAAATGTCCAATGTCTATTTTATACATTTTTATTGCTTCAAAAATGGACTGAAATTCTTCTCTAAGAAGCCCTCATTCTTATGGAGGGAAAGTCTACAACAATCAAGAAAGTTTATATCTACATTATACATCTTCATTATTTCTAGGTTAGTTCATTGACCACAGTGAGAAAAATAACATGAGTGATACTGATACTTTGACTCAAAGTAAAAGTCACAGGATTTTAACTTAATTCCTAGGTGTTTTTGGTAGTAATCTCTTCTTAAAATAGCTTTAATGGGGCAGTGGTTTAGATATCGGGTTGCGAATTGCAAGGTCGCCGGTTCAAACCCACCAGCTGCTCCGTAAAAGAAAAGATCTGACTGCTTTGCCTGGTAAAGATTTAGTCTCAGAAATTCTAAGGAGCAGTTCTACTCTGTCATGTATGGTTGCTAAGTCAGAATAGACTCAAAATGAGTACATTTTCTCTTAACTTAAAAATTATAAAGTGACATTTTGGTTTTATCAATGTTGAAAATGTTAACTCCAAATTTATTATTATACACATTACAGAATGTAGTTTAAATTTTCTTCATGGATTAGGCCTATCCTTAAACTGTTTCCCACCAAGACGTATACAATACAATACTGTTCTTTATAATCATAAGATTGGTGTAGTTGTACTTGTTATACAGTCAAGCTCATTTATTTGTTTTCAAATTTATGAAGTTTTACTAAATATGGGAAAGTACCCCCCCAAAACTGGAATACACACCCCCACAAGCTATGTATTTAATTTTTTTTTTTTAACAAAACCACCTTATCACCTTCAAAGTACTCTCCATTACACTTAATACATTTGTCAAATCTGCAATTCCATTCTTGGAAACACTTTTCAAACTCATCTGTTTGGATGGCTGAGAGCACCTCCCTCATTTTTTTTTTCACCTTTCCTACCTTGTAAAATCACTGTCCTTTCATGTCCCTCTTCACTCGAGGAAACAAAAAGAAGTCACACAGAGCGAGGTCAGGTGAGTAAGGTGCATGGGGCAAGAGAGGCATGCTGGTTTTTGCCAAAAACTGGTGTACTGAAATGGCTGCGAAAGCAGGTGCATTAACATGGTGGCAAAACAGTCCCTTGTCTGCATTTTTTTGTCACACACTGCTACACAATCTTTTCAGAACCTCTAAATAGAAACCTTGGTTAACAGTCTGAATTGCTGGAACGAACTCCAAATGAACTACAAATCAACATTTTTGTCTGTTCAAGAAGTCGATGGACATCCAGAATGAGGTTTGTCTTCAATCAACATCTCACCTTTTTAGAAACGAGAAAATCACTCATCGTACACTTGAGTTTTTCCCATAGTACTGTCCTTGTAAGCTGTGTTCAACATCACAGCAGTTTCTGTGGCAGTTTTCCCAAGCAGGAAACAAAATTTCATAGACACATGCAGTTCTAACAAAGTTTGAGCGAACCTGCTTTCACAAAGTCATTGTGATCAGAGAACCTTCCCAGGAGCAGCAACTGGGTATACTAACTCAAAGGGAGTTGTTCCATGTTCGCCACTCAATGTACATGCAAAAGCTCTACCCAGTGGAGCATTTTTCTGTTTTGGGGGGGGATATAATTTTGTTATTTAAATTATCTATTAGTTACTAAATTCCAAGGTCAAAATTATAAGGCATGATTAACATTTGGAGTAACTGTTAATTTTGTTAGCCTTTCATTTTTAAAATCTATAAACAACATATAACACATTCACATTTTACACCCTTTCTTCATGAAGGACAGCTATTCCCTACTCTGCTCTTTTTACTTAACAATACAAGGTTGCAAAAAGTTCTCGGAGAAATGCAATTAAAGGATTGTGGAATTCTTCCACAAACTTGTTGAAGACCCAGTGCATAGCCTGAGATCAGTCCACATCAGTATATAGAAATCTCATTCCATTTTATAGTTCATGGTATTCCATCTGTATTCAACTAGATTGCTACTAAAGACCATTTGGATTTTGTCTAGTTTTTACTAATATGTCATAGTAAATAAATGGATTATTGCATACAAATTTCACACCGAGAGATTCTTTGAAGATTGCTACACCAAATTGCGTATGTACATATGAGCTGCATTTTGAATTTGTAAATGACTTCTTTAAATTTGTTGTCTTTTAGTGACACTTCTATAACATGTCTGACTTTAAATCTCTCCTTGAAGTAGCCACCTAATGTGTAGGTTTGGAATAAGAAAACCACTTCTTAAAGCAACCTTATTTACAAAAAAAATTTTTCTAGAAAAGATAAATGGATGTGGAATGACATTCTAAATAAGTATTTTATTTGGGGAATATTGAAAACTACCCAACTTTAATTTATAAATAAAATATAAACTAAAAAATTTATTAAGAAATAATATAAAATCCAGTAGTTTAAAATATTTACATATAAATAATATAAATGAAAATATTAGTGAACAGAATGATATACAATCTACTGTCTTCTAAGAATAATACAAAGATTAAATAGAATTAGCAATTAAAAAAATCAACAGACAGAAATACATTTCCTGGAAAAATAACATAAGTATTTGAAAGGCTAAATTAGAAAATCAGTTAACATTGATCGTTTTTAATCACAAAATTAGAACTACGAAATGAAGCCATACAAGATATCTTTTATTCTTACTCAACAAATAACTGAAATTTGTAATTTACCAAGATGATTTAAAATTAAGACTTTTGTGATTACATTTTTAATTCAAATGCTAAAGTTAATAATATGGTATTAAGATTAGCAGGTATAGTAAAGCTTCCATATAAAAATATACTATAGGGGCTCAAGTGGAAAGAAAATGTTTTAAAAATGATGATGGCAGCATATATACAAATGTGCTTGACACAGTGGATGCATGTATGGATTGTGATAAGAGCAATAAAATGATTTTTAAAATAAACACAAATATATGTATCCAAAAAAGTATTGTAAAATACCTGATTAACTTTCATAAACTGATTATGATACTGCTTTAATACCCTGAGTACAATATATATGGCAATAACTAAGAACACTTCCCCATCTTAAAATTCCCAATGTGGGAGTAGAGGGTATAGAATTTAAAGCGGATTGGAGGGTAATTTCTTCACACTAATTCTATCTACTACAAGAAAAAGTCTCAACAGTGATTTCTAGTTTAGCAAAAAAAAAAACAAAACTTCCTCTAGCACAGCTACCACTAATAGTTCTCCTAATAAAGATGTTTTCATTTTCATTTAACTTGGGGTTTCTGGGGAATTTAGTAGTACACTACCCTGATTAGCATATAACCAAGAGAGTGAGAAGGCAGACTTAAAGCTACTGACAGACAGGCTTATGGATATGGGTTACAGTCTCCTCTAATACTCGCTACAAAGTATTTATAAGCCAAGATGGTTTAAGTTAAAATGAAACATAGTTATACATTGTGATCAATACATACAGCACAGCAAACCTGATAAATTTGAGTACTTTATCATTTCAACAGTACTTCATATAAAATGAGTTCAGCCAAATAAAAAAAACAAAAAAAAACCCCTCACTGCCATCAAGTCAACTCACTCATAGAATAAAGTGGCCAGACATCCTGCTTTTTAACAATTTTTCCCATGTCCCGCAGCATTTTTAAAAAGTCCCGATTTTTAGAAAGAGTGCACGACAAGCTAGGGTATACAGTTTTCGGCTGCCATATGGCTATTTCGCCAGGACATGAATTTTATCAATGGTGTCCCGCTTTACCAATGTTAAAATCTGGTCACCCTATATAGGGGCCTCTGTGGGTTTCCAATACTGTAACTCTTTATGGGAGTAGAAAGCCTCATCTTTCTCCTGTGGTCAAATATAATAGTGTATCACAATACACACGTTATAACAAAATGAAGTTGAACAAAAAGTAAATTTTTTTCAAACAATAATAATCTAAGTCTTTTATTCTTCAAGGTAAAGTATTTTGACATCAATAACTCAAGTTTTAATGTACACATTATAATTTATTCATTAATTATTGTTACTATCAATAATAAAAAAAAAGTTTTGGAAGTACAATACCTTAGTTAGAGCAGCAGTATGATCTTCTCCACAACAAATATAAACTATTTTCTGAGATCTTAGTGACTTTAGCAAGTTAGGAACATACCTATCTGAAAATTCCAACAAGAGACGTTAACGCCGTTTCTTAAATTAAAACTCTTCTAAAACATGTTTCCTCTAAAGTTTCCCAAACTAAATAAACAATGATGAATAAATCATTTTAACTATAATTCACTGAATTTGTAGGACGAGTCTAATAAAATGGGTTCCCAGATTTGCCTATTTACGTTACTGTGATAAAGGAGGGGTTTGAAAAACCAATATAAGTGTCATACTGCCCATATGATAATTTGCATGAGATGTGGCAATCTACAAATCTGAGAACTATTTCACACGCTTCTAATTTTACACACACACCAGTGTTTATATTCACGTCTTAACATACTCATATGATGCTACTTAAAAGTTTTAAAAGTATATTTTTTATTACTGTAACAGGTAAAATATATGTCCTAAATCTGACTTATTTTTTCTTATGGAGAACAAAATATTCTTTAATTCTTATTGAAAGTATTATTTGCAATTAAAAATTGTTACTAAAGCAATAACTCAATTGTGCGTTGTGTTAACTATTAAGGTAATGAACTTTTTGAAACTGCAGGTCTTGTAGGGCAGATATTTGCATTCAATCCACCGAAGTTACAAAAAACCAGTTCCAAGATTCCAGCTTGTTACTAGGACTTATAATTTTTTAAAATTCGAAATGTTCATTTTCAAAACTCTAGCACCATTGAGTGTTGAAAGTAAAGTTCAACCAAAGAAAGATTAGTTTTAATGACTCAGATTAATTTTCTTGAAAATCTCCAATTTTACCAATTTTTTCCACCAGTGGCAAACAATAATGTAGTAATTCTAGTTATTAATTTGAAATGTTTTCCAAATTTAAGGAACATCTAGCTATATCAGAGATTTCTCCAGATATACTTTCCGTAGTTTATTTTACAAAAACGAATTTTTTTGTCTTTCCATCCCCCAAATACTATTATCAAACAGAAAATTTTATCCACATCTCATTATCTCCCTACATTAAGAATCCCTGCTCTATGTCAAAAGATCATCTTTCCTTTAAAGTACATTTAATTGTGTATGAGAACTTACCATTTTCATCGTTCAGACCTAGTTGACCAAATTTATTTCGTCCCCAACCAAAGATAGCTCCAGAAAGGGTGAGTACAAAACTATGGGCTCCTCCGGCTGCAACTTGCATGAAAGGGATGCCAAGCAAGGACTTAATCAGTTGTGGTGAAGCCTGCTTTTTACAGTCAAGGCCTAAACCCAATTGGCCATATTTATTCTGTCCCCAACTGAAGACTTCACTTGCTGTGAAATAAAAATCATAAAATTAACTAGTTTTCACATACACACACACACACACACGTCATTTGTAGTCTACCTATCCTTCTCACCATATGGAAATATGCGCTTCTCTTTTTGCAATTAATATTGTTTTTCATATGGAAACATATTAAGACATACGTCTATATTTGAGCATTCTAAATTCTAAAATCACTCACCTGTAACTTTCCGTGGGAGAAAGACGGGGCAGTCTACTTCCACGCTGACTGCCTTGCAAAGTCTATGAGCATAGCTTTCTTAGTCCTTTAGGGCTGCTAGGAGCCGAAATAAATAAACAGCCAGAAGTTTGGGATACTAATGAGTAAGTCGCAAATTGGGGGTAGTCTAATTTCTTTAAGCACCTCAAGAAAGGGCTGTCTCTTTAGTACAGGCAGTCTCCGGCTTACAGCCAGACAACTTATATTTTTGCCCTTTATATTACGTAAATCTGTCTCCATCTTGATCCAATTAAAACCCCTACTCAAAACAAATTCTTCATCACAATCACATTTTTAAAAAGTAAATCATTTTATTGCGGCCTTTACAACTCTTATCACAATCCATACATACATCCATTGCGGCAAGCACATTTGTACATAGCTGCCATTATCTTCAAAACATTTTTTCTATTTGAGCCCTTGGTATCAGCTCATTTCTCCCCGCCTGCCCTCATGAACACTTGATCATTTATAAATCTTTTTTTCATGTTTTACACCGACCGCTGTCTCTCTTCACAAACAATCACTTTTCTTGCTGCTGTACCTATACTTTTTAAATCAATACAAAGACTAGTAAGAACCATGGGCACCTATTCCACCTCACTTTAACTAGGGTCGGATCTCATTCACAGACTGGAGACTACCTATACTCTTCATTAGTCTGTATTTTCTCTTCAGAGGGTTTATTTATCCAAGCTCAAAGCTTCGTTTTCAGGTACGTGCTGACAATGTCTAAAAACTTACCACTAGTTCAGAGCTCTCCCTCTGAGCAATAAATTGTTTTATAAAATTATTGACCTCACATCTCCACTTGTATATTACAAGGTCATTCCATCTCAGAATATCTTAGCTGAATTAATGACCCCATCTCCACTTCCCAGACCTTTCCCCAGTGTTCTCCATCTCAGTAAATGGCATAACTGATTTAACAGGAGAAGTCATAAACCTAAGGAGTCATCTTTAAACACCTCATCTTTTACTTTACAGGAATTGAACGCATTACAAAGTCATATGTGTACATAGTTTGCTTTATAAAGAAAAATATGATCTAAATAGATTCGCTATTTTACCTGGTTCTCCCTGCTATCATTTGTTTCCCTGTTGCGGCCTTATTTTTCAACTTTACACGCATTATCATCAAACTATTAACTGACATTTTTCTTAAAATAGATTATAAGTAAATTTCCCTATAAAAATCAGACGCCTGGTCTTCGCCCAAGAAACAACCTCTCATCAGTGACTAATATGTTCTTCCAGAAATGTTTATGCATAATACAAACAAGATTTGTATGTATGCAGAGATAATTTATAGAAATGCAGATTTCAAGTTGCTCACCTGCAAAAACAAAAACAAAAAAAACTGGTGTCTTCCCCCTTGAAGGGCAAACATGCCTTGGTAAGGACTACAGGGCTTTAGATAAACTACTTTTATTTTCAAGAGGGGGGAGCGGGGAGGGAGGGGGAAAATGAGGACGTGGTGCCGGGGGCTTAAGTGGAGAGGAAATGTTTTGAGAATGATGAGGGCAATGAATGTACAGGTGCGCTTTACACAACTGATGTATGTATGGATTGTGGTAAGAGTTGTATGAGCCTCTAATAAAATGATTAAAAAAAAAAAAAACTACTTTTATTTTCAAATTCATTTCATACTCCTCCCTCACCTGTTATGCTCTGGCCATACTAGCTTTCCTTGATATTCTCCAATGCCCATTTTCCACACACTTTTTTCCTTTGTCTAAATCTGGACATCTTTGTCTAGCTCATTTCTACTTTCTTTCTGCAGAAAGCCTTCCTTGATTTCCAAGATTAAGTCCAGTCCCCCTGCTATACATGTTCTAAATGCTCTAAGCTTTTTCTCTAAAGTCCCTATCATTGCATATAATTACACACAATGTATATAGGATTATACTATGAAAGCTAGTAGTGTATTACCTACACTGTATACCTAGTCCATTAACATAACACGGTACCTAATTCATACTAAACAAAAATCCAAACCTGATATTATGAAGTCGATTCCGATTCACAGCAACCCTAAAGAACAAAGTAGAACTGCCCTATAGGCCTTCCAAGGCTATATTCTTTACAGAGGCAGACTGCCACATCTTCCTCCCACAGAGTGGCTTGTTGGTTTGAAATGCCGCCTTGCAGTTAGCAGCCAGGTGCTTTAACCACTAGGCCAACATTGATCTACCAATCATACTAAGTGCTTGTAGTAGTTACGTAATCTGTTGTCAATTGGAGAATTAAGAGTGAAGGGGTGGAATTTAGCCTGTAAATCAGGTTGCAGCTTGATGACCTCATTTGGAGGGGCTAAGTAGATAAATAGCTCGCTGGAGGCGGGACTCAGACTCGCTCCCTGCGAGACATTCCTGCGAACAAGACACATGTAGCTACGCTAGAGCCCATGAGCTGAAAGAGCCACGTGGAGACCCACGGCAGCACTGAGATGCTTCCACCACCACTGGATCCACAAGATTTTCCACCCACTGGGCTGTGATCTTCCTGCATTCGGCGTCATTGCATGTGTTTCGTGAGTCTGAAGAGGAATTAATTGATTGGTATAGGACATATGGGCTAATATCGGATTTATGGACTTGATCTGGACTGGGATGTTTTCTCAATATTCAATTGCTCTTATATATAAACCTCTTTCTTGTACACATATAAGTGTCGATGAATTCGTTTCTCTTGTCTACCCAGACTAACATAGTGTTCAAAAAACTATTTTTGTTAAGTAAGATACTATTAAAGTACAAAACTACATGGGAGTTAAAAAAAAACACCTATCAGTCAAAATGCAAAACTGCCACCATCAGTAAAATCTTTGGGCTTCAATTTATATTGGATCAAATTACTGGAAGCGGAACTGGTAAAGCAGCAATGGATACATACAGACATCAGGCTTCCCAGTGTATACAGCAGTCTTAATTCCTTACTATGACATATGTGTAAGGCCCCGCTAACAAATTTTTTACTTCAGCCTCAATTCTTAGTATGCCTCCTTCCCAATACTCACATAAGAAAACTACATGCCAATACCCAAATACACCAAGTATACTGTCCCTCTTAGCTCCTTCTCCAATTCATATTAAAATCTACTCATCTTTCAAGTGTTCCATCAAATAACCAATGCCCTTATTATTTCAATCAATTACAACCAATTAAGACTTTTTAAATCATTTCCAAACTAGCATTTCTTCCTGCCTCAAACTAAAACTATTAGCATATTTGTTTCTTCCACTAATGTATTTCCCTAACACTTTTTCTCTTATCTGTGTTTTCCCACAACTCTAGCCTAGTGTTTTATTCATAGAAAACTTTCTAAAATTTTACATTAAAATGTAATACCAAAGCCAATGGAACTCAGTTAATAAAATTATTTTCTTTTTAAAACGTAGGGGTTTTTATTAATCCACAATCCATCCTTTAGCTGGCACACGAAAAGTCAAATGAATAAAAGAGGAAAGCAAACAAAGGTAATAGGCTGCTCAAAATTCTGCCCTGTCCTCACTTATACAATGTTTACCTATAAAATTAAATACTAACAATGAAAAATAAAAAATTAAACTGAAATGTTACTTCACAATAACAGACATAAAGTAACTAGGTAAAACTCTTAATAAAAAAATGCCTAAGACCTTTCCACATAAAACAAATCCCTATTGAGAAAAATCCAAAGGAATAGCAGCATGCTCAAGAATTAAAGGACTCAATAGTATAAAAAATTTCCCAAATTAATCTATAATGTAACCCAAAAAGACACATTTTATGTTTTTCTGTGTGTGATAATCAATAAGCTAATCCTAAAATTCACGTGGAAGTGAATATGTTTAAATAGAAAAAGTTGGAGGACTTTCTGCTCCTTTAAAGTATCACATAACAAAACTCAACACACAAAGAGTGGGTGGAGCATAAAAAACAATACTCACCTTTAGAAAGTGCAAGTGAATGATAGTATCCACAAGCAACCTGCACTATCTGGATATCTGATAAGCTTTTAATATTTCTAGAAAACAAGAAGAGAGATCATGATCAGTCAGTTCCATTTAACTCAGATCTGAAATGCCTAATCTACATGAAAGTAGAGTTTGCAACTGATCTAACAGGCCGTGCTATTTTTCTCATGTAAACTCAATTTACCAAAAGTGTATCTTAAAAGCAAAGTAAACAAATCAACAAATGTGATCTAGACATGAAACATGCTTTTATAATCCAAATGTTTATATTATCAGGTTCATTAAAATTTAGCTTAAAATCTGAAACTTTACAATATTATTTCTACAACAAATGTGTATCATCTGTGTAAAACTGATGTTTTATGAAACATATTTCTCTATCAAGTCTCTTAAGAAGCAATGGAGATTCCTATGATGTTGTTTACAATTTATAAACAATGAACCATATTCTCTTCTTTGGCTATCTTTCCACTTTTATCTAAACCAGTAAGAATCAATTTAGTTTTACTAAGGAAATTTAATCAATTCACATTTATTTTAATAACTGATGTCTTCAGTCTTATTTCTGCCATCTTGTGTTTGCTCCGTATTTTTCATTTCCTTGTTTTTCTTTTCCTGAAACTTCGCTTAATTGTAATGCCATCTAAAGGCTAATTTGTAAAATGTTACCAAAATTACTGTGTTGCAAACATCCTGTGTTCTTTTTAAGCAGTTCCCCTTCTCTTAGTCATTCTGTATTACATCTTAGTCATTCTGCTTTATTGTTTTTTTAAAAAAAATGGGGAGGGGGATATGTTTCTTATTTCCCTTTACCTGATACTGTGACCTGACCTGATTCTGCCATATGAGAGTCCGGAACAAGTTCTGACCAGAGTGTCGATACCCATGATTTTCGGGAGACAGCTTCAGCAAATCAAATTTTGAGCAGGAGAAAGGAGAGTTACTCTAATTCTATATTGTATTAAAAATATTTTTATAGAGTGGATTTATGTTAACTACAAAATTTGAGTGGTACTGCTACAATTAAAGAGATCCAACTGAATCTGCAACTTCGATTTTCAAACATAAAATGCCACTTTTCTGCAATTAGCAAAATCAAACCCTGGTGATACAAATGCCCCAGGAATAAAAAAATACATGGACTTATATACCTGCACTGAAGTTACTGAACATTTACTATTACTGCTTATGAGGACTAATGTACATACAAAGTGGCTTCAAAAAGTTCATGAAAGAACCCATTAGCTTTTAATTTCATTTATCTACGAAACCCTGGAAGTGCACCAAAATAATTAATAGTGAAATTTAAAAATATATTATTTAAAAATAAAAAGAAACTATTCTGTGTATCAAATCGAAATTGCAAGACCAAGGAAAACATGTTTAAATGCTATGTTCTCATAGCACCCTATTTTTTTTCCCTTCATACCAGTTTCACGATTAATGTTTTAATTTTTCATTAAATGTTTTCTCTGCTAAACAATAAGCTCTGTGAAGGCAGACACTATGTGTCTTATTACTAGAGAATCCTTTGTGCACCCAATCATGCCTGGCAAATGGTGTATACACTGTTAAATCCACCCAATCAATTCTGACTCACAGTGACCCTACAGAACACAGAACTGCCCACTTTGTATTTGTGAGAGGTTATAAATCTCTACAGAAGCATATAGCCTTGTCTTTCTGCCTCAGAGCAGCTTTTAGGTTCAAACTGCTGACCATATGGTTAACAGTACAATGCTTAACACAGTATACCAAATGGGCTCTTTAAATGCATTAAAGGATCCGTGAAATTTGTAAAGCCTTGGAGGCTTAATTTTAAACTAGTAATAAGTTTACACAAAACATCTCTATCTGCACTGCAATTTACACTCAATGATTCTCCTTTGCAAAACCCTATCATAAGGTTTGGACTACAACATAAATAACAATTTTTTAAAACATACTATAAAAGTTATTACATATTACAGAAGGGTTCCACTGTTACAGAAAAAAAAGAGATGCTTCTGTGCCACTAGAGTGCTAAACAAAATATTCTCTCCTTTCATCGCCATATATATTTATTAATACGTTGAGGACTGGGAGTGAGACAGATTATAATATTTTGTTTTAGCTTTAAGGGATATAAAATTAAAAAAACAACTCAACTCAACTCTAAAACTTAATTTACTAAATATAAATAGGCTTACCATGGTCTATTTTTCCTAAGGAGATAATGAAGTAGAATATATTTAATGAAATAGAATTTTATAGAATTTATCAAGAGCATTACATTTTTTAAGGTAAAAAGATAATTTAATGCTTTAGGCTTTCAAATTTGTAAAAAGATCAAAATACACTCACTGAAAAAAAATAAGTCATATTTTGTCTAAAACTATAAGCCATATAAAGATTCCTCACTAATCAACTTTATGTAAAGAAAATAAAAATTCAGATCTCTACAACATACATTTTAGACTGTTTATCATTAAAATGACTCCCCAGACAAGGGTCACAGCCTTAAAAATCCTCTAGATTCCTTACCTATTAGACTGAAACATTGGTCTGAGTGGCTATAAAAGGAAAAAAAATAAAACAACCTGACTTGAATTCTTTTGTGACATACACATTGGTTTCAAACAATAAAACTGCCCCAAAGTTTACAGTATATTAAAGAATTTTAAATAGAACCAATGAAATTGTTGGTTCACTGTAATGAATTAAATAATTTCTTCACCAAAGTCTTAAAAAACTGTTCAAAATTTTAAGTTAATGAATTTGGAAATGGAATGTAAATACCTCCCGGTGAACCTGGAAAAACCTATTAGGTGCTGAAAATGTGTACTGTTGCATTCTCCTATGTTTCTAACTTAATGTATAATGGTAATAAAGGGAGATGGTAGGCATTGGCACTTTCATTTCTGATGATAAAATTCCAACTAATGTTACCCTATTTCCCCGAAAGTAAGACATCCCCAAAAATAAGACCTACTTACAGTTTTGCCTCTCGCTGAAATATAAGGCATTCCCCTAAAATACGGTCTCCCGAAGCTACCATAACTCTGGACTCTGGACCGTAGCGGTAGACGATGGCTGCGCAGCTCACTGTTAGCCACAGCTGGAGCATACAGGAAGTGCAAGGTCTCTTTTAATAAAACAATAAACAATAAATGTGTACTGTATTCTTCTTCATGGAAAAATAAGACCTAGCACATCTTTGGGAGCAAAAATTAATATAAGACACTGTCTTATTTTCAGGGAAACAGGGTAACAAAGCCTACTGAAAAGGTTGCATTAGTTAATGAGAACCTTGAAGAATTAAAGCATTAAATATTTTCTAATAAAAAAATAATTTTCTATTGCTAGTGAAGGCACCATTTGCTTAATCATTTAAGAAAACGCATAAATAACTAAATTTTGAAAATTTTAGGTTCACAACAGCGCTAGTCTCGACAATTAAAAAAAAAACTACTTTTTCTTTTTAAAGTCGGGTGCTAAAAATAGGCAGGTGTTATACTCTTGCTAAAATTGGCTTAAATCAGGAAATAAATTTTAATTCAAACATGTTTAGTTTCTATAGTTTAGGAATAGCTGCATCATCTTCTTATAAATGTTTCAATTATACATATACCAAAGAAATAAAATTATAAAAAACACATTACAACTTTATTGCTAGCTATTGTTTCTCCGAATTTATGTGGGAAATTATGCACTCTCATTCACATCAAAACAAAAGCCAGCAAAATTAGGCCTTAACATCTTTTTATAAACCTAATACTAGGGAGCTTCAAAAAAAAAAAAAATCCCACTATCTTTCAATTCCATTTTGCCAAGAACATTTTGAAGCCCCTTTGAATATATCCTACATAAAAAAGAATCATTTCCTTCCCAAGCGGTAATGGTTTCAAAACAAAACTAGACTAAGCAAAAATTATTTAAAAACTAGTAAAAAGGAAGTTTTACATTCTTTTTAAATTTTAAAATCACTTTAAATTTCCACATTCATACCTATTAGCATAAAAATGGTTAAGAAAGTATAGCCTAATATGAATTTCCCCTCTTCTGATAACTCTAATAAAAAGCCTATAAGCACTAAATTTAGAAATCTACTTACAGATATGAGTTTCCTCCTGTTTTCTATATATGCTTTATTAACAATAACTTTCAAAGCCAAATGACATCTCTAAGTCCATAGGAAAAAGCCTACTGTTGTTAGGTACCACTGAGTCGGTTCCACCCACAGCGACCCTATACAAAACGGAACAAACACTGCCTGGTCCTGTGCCACCCTCACAATTGTTGCTATGCTTGAGCTTATTACTGCAGTCACTATGCTTCACTATGTCATATTATCTCATTGAGGACCTTCCTCTTTTTCATTGCACCTCTACCAAGCATGACGTCCTTTGGGTTTCCAAGATTGTTTACCTTATTAGAGCAGACAGCCTCAACTTTCTCCCAGAGTGGCTGGTAGATTTAAATTGCTATCTTTGTCGTTAACAGCCCAAGCATTAACCCATTACATCACCAAGGGCTCCCGATACAGACGGAAAAAGCATAGTGGAAGGATACAACCCTGGCATACCCCTTATCCTATTAGCTAAATCCTCTATCTTAAACCAAAACAAACATATCAATGTTAATTTTAAAATACACTAAATGTATGCAAAAAATGTCACCTGCACCTGAACTAAATCTAAATTTAGTTTAAGTATACTTTGGTTCCCTAGAGAGTTTTCATTTGTTCCTATAACTATTACTTGAAAAGGAAATAACCAAAGAGTTTAGGGAAGAGGTACAAACTTCTATGATTTAAAATATTAGGTAACTTCTCTAAAATTTACTTACATATGTTCTGTTTTCTAGTTTTATATAAGCTAATGGTTAACACATTAAATCGTGATCACTGATATACTAAAAATCAGAAACTATTTTTACACCAAGTAGGATGGACTTTTTACATAAATTCAGTAAGTTATAAAAATCAGGCAAGCAATATTTAATAAATATTCCAATAGCTAAGGTACTAAGTACGACTGATATTTTAAATTAGTCAAACTCACTTAAACATTTCAACGTGAGAAATTCTACCATAAACTGAGTATTCCCCACGTTTTTCTCTATAAGCATAAATATAAATTTAATTGATTGTAGAGAAAAATATGGAGCATATAAAAAGGTATTACCAAATTAAAGACAATAACCTACCCAGTGAACTACTGAAGACTTAAAATTGAAGAAAATAATTAAATGTCAACTTTTAAGCAAAATGACTTATAATCTAAACTTTATATTAACAAATTTATTATACAAGTTTGTTGAAGACCTTTTGGTCACCTTTGTTACCTGGGTACTCTGGTACAATCCTCTGATCCTAGTAGGCCAAGTTGTCCATCAGAATCAAGACCCCATGCATACACCTGGCCTTTATCATTTAATGCTAATGTATGAGCTTCTCCGCATGAAACTGCTACAATATTTTGGGCATCCAGGGCAACAACCTGCTCTAAAAAAAAAAATCAAGAAGAAAAAAATTACATTCTAGTTTTAAACTTCCAATGAGAAGAAAATACATCAAGTTCTCATTTTATGCAAAAGAGTTAGGTTGTTTAAATACACACTAAATATGTTATTTGGAAAAATCTAGGATATGTGTTTCATAAATAATTCTCTTTGTGGTAAATAAATGCAGATACACACTGTAGCACATAGTGACTTGAACATGTAAGCAAGAAATTGAGATTCAGAAAAAAATCTCTCAGAAAGTGTTCTCTATCCAAAGTTATTAGCAGTAAAGAATTCACCTGAAAAAGGAATTATTTTTAAAATTTGTTCAATTTTAAAAATACAATAAAATGATAATTGTCAACAAAATCACTATCAACTTGAAGGCAACCAACCACAAAATGATGATTTTGAAATTATGAAGTAACTTGAACTTGACAATTTCTATAGATAACAAATTCTAACAGATCTTATAAAATATACACTGAGTAATGAAAAGCAAATTATGACTATTAGTGATAGGTTTCATAACAAAAGATACAAAAATTCTATACATGGCTAAAATGTTTACATTTTAAACCAGAAACTAAAATATATTGGCTCTTCATAAGACTCAGTATTCACTGACATATAATTGAGGGAAGTGAGATTATTTTTCAGTTTTTGTTAATAAGATAAGCAATGGAATATTTTTTACAAAGACCACGGCAAGTCGTTTTATTAAATGCTATTTAAAACGAACTTTTTTTAAGCTTCATCAGAAAACTGTAACTACTATGTTCAATAAACCTGAAAGCCATATGTTGAAGAGTGATTAGAACTGGATCAATTAGGAATTCTTTGGAAACATATTTTGCATACAATGCAGCTGTTCAAAAATAAAGCAGACCACATTAAAGAAATTGATCCCCAGATATGAAGAAAATAGATTGTTATCTAATTATCCTGTATTTGGGGGTGGCAAGTTAGCTCTAGATCTTGTACACCAATCTGTACAACTCTTAAGATACCAAAACCTAAAAGTGTAACTCAAAACACGTAATGATACATTTTAAGTACTTTAATCAGCTAGTGAGGGTGTGGATTATGCACTGGGCTACCAACCACAAGGTCAGCAGTTTGAATCCACTAGCAGTTCTGCAGGAGAAAGAAGAGGCTTTCTAATCCCGAAAAGATTTATAGTCTCATAAGCCAAAAGGACAGGGCAGTGCTACTCTGTCCTACAGGGTCACTATGAGTCACCATCAATTCGATGGTAGTGAGCCACGTTACAGTACAGTGTTGATAATTCTTTAAAGTAGGATCAATACACTTAAATTCATTATTCTAATCTCACATCTTTTGTGTATGATTAAATTTTTTTGCATGGGAACTTCAAAAAGCTCATAAAAATTATACTGTCTTTTGATTTCATTATTCTACAAACTTTTGAAGCCTCCTTGTAGTATAGAAATACATATAAACAAAAAATGAAGCCAGAATATAATTGGCTTTCCCTCCAACTCAAGAAAATCATCAGAAGTATGACACCATTTCTTTACATCAGAGCATTTCCCTAAATCTTAATGATGATAAAAGGACAATATAAAAGGTCTGTTATCTCTGACAGAGGCCCAAGAAATAAGTGTCTCCAGGAAATCCGCAAAGGAAGTAACAGTAAAAAGTAGAAAATGCCAGACTGACAAGTAGTGTGAATAACATTGGCTGTGAAATCAGAAACCAAAATCCGAAAAACACACACATTCTTATCAGACACATCTACAGTGTACTTTTTGTTTTCCAAGCACTATAGATACAATGATAAATGAAACATGGTTCTTGCCATCAAGGGGTTAAAGTCTACTGAAAAACAGGATAATAAGGTAAAGGCTAAGAAATATAAACAAAAAGATAGCACGAAAATATGACTTATCTATTTAAGCCTTGAATATTACTAGGAAGAATTCTGAGAAACACTGACACTAGAGAGAACAGATGACAAGTACCTAACTGGGAAAATTCCAGTAATTTCTTTTGGTAAAAATAAACAAAAACAAAAACCACTAAAAACAAAAATCAAAGACTTAGGAAAATAATAGGAAAAAAACGTTACTCATCTCAGACAAAAAAATAACCTTTCAAATTTGTAAAAATCAAAGGAAAAAAAAGACCTATAAAGAAACACACACACTCAACTCACTGCCTTCAAGTTGAGAATCGCCCCTGAGGGTTTCCGAGGATGTCCATCTTGACAAGAACAGAAAGCCTGGTCTTACTCCTGCAAAGCAGTTGGTAGGTTGGACCCACCAACCTTCTGGTTATCAGTCCAACTCATAACCTCATACACCACCAGGGCTCCTTAATTGTATCAACAGATTATCAACTTGATTAATAAGAGAAATGTGAAGTCAGGTTACACTGACAAGCCAATATTATGTTCAATAAATCACCAAGCTATATACTTTTAATTAATGTACTCTTCTATATGGGCTAATGCATTAAGAAGTTTAATTTAAAAGACAAACACACACAAGACAAAAAAAAACTCCAAAGTAATCCAAAATTTGGTAAGTATAATTTCTACTGAAGTAGCACTGGTAGTACAGGGTGTGTAAGTGCTCAGCTGCAAACCAAAGTGTTGGAAGTTCTTACCCACCAGTCACTACTCAAAAGAAAGATAAGGCAGTCTGCTTCCATAAAGATTTAAAACCTCAGAAACTGTATGGGGTAGTTCTACTCTGACCTATAGTTCATTATGAATAGGAATCAATCTCGCAGCTGGTAGATTCAAACCTTTTGGTTAGCAACCCAGTGATGTGCAACAGCTCTAAAGCCCATGATGGTATCATTGCTGCTTTAAACCACTGAACTACCAGGGTTCCTCTCAGTTGTGCACTGATAGTGAGAGTAAAACAGGACTACCTCTAAGAAGAAGAATATAATATTAACTAACAAAACATATGCATTTACCCTTAGATCTGGTAATATCACTTTCTGAAATTTATCCTACAGATATACCTAAGTATAAAAGTACAGCTAATGAACAGCAAAAAACTGGAAACACTAAGTATCCATCAACAGAGGATTCCATCTAGACAACAGAATATCAATACACAGTAAAAAAAAAATGAGAGAAGAAACTATAAAATGGAAGATCTTCAGGGTATATATAAATAAGGGGTGGGAGGAGGGAGATTGGCAGAACCAAGATATAAAAGAACATATGGGTTTTGCTATACTTTGTGGAAGGAAGAGAAAAGGAAATAATATTTGAAAGTATATACAAAAAGCATATACAAAAGTTATATATAAAAAATATACACAAAATTAATTACCTATAAAGAATGAAGGCTTAAGGGGGAAAAAATGAAGGCATAGTTTTGCCTAAGAGTGTTGTCAAATTGTTCCTTTGTGTCTAACTTTCATTGCTAAAAGTGTTCAGTCATTTCAGGATTTTAATCTGTTCAAGTGAATGTCCCATGCATTTTAGTCCAATAAGCTTTCCCCAGGTGGTGTAGTGTTTACAAGTTGAGCTGTGATCCATATGATCAGCAGTTCAAAACCACCAGCAGCTCCCATGGAGAAACACTGGAATTTCTTTTACTATAAAGAGTTAGTCTCAGAAACCCAGAGGGGATGGTTGAATCAGCATTAATTCGATGGCAGTGAGTGAGTGAGTGAGTGAGTGAGTGAGTGAGTGAGTGAGTGAGTGATGTACATTGTCCTTTTCTCAGTATTTTAAATTTTGAACCACTGGCTAGATTAATGGCAGTTTATTAGAAATATCACAAGTCCTCTGCAGCTTACCTATTTTATTTCTCAAGAAGCTGATAATGCTGTCTCTACAGTGGACCAGGGATATATATAAATCTTAGATATATGAATGGATCATCAGCTTGCCACCTAACTGTAAACTGTGGCCCTGCTCAATCTTGCTCTCAACTAAGTGATCACTGAAGATATGGATATTACAGCCAAGAAAAAATACCTTCTGTTGTCTTAAAGCAGCAATTCTCAACCTGTGGGCTGCAACTCCTTTAGGGGTCGAATGACCCTTTCACAGGGGTAGCCCGATTCACAACAGTAGCAAAATTACAGTCATGAAGTAGCAATGAAAATAATTTTATGGTTGGGGGTCACTACAACATGAGGTACTGTATTAAAGGGTCGCGGCATTAGGAAGGTTGAGAACCACTGTCTTAAATGACTGTCTTAAAATAAGCAGTCACCTAGAAGAGATATTGGCTAACTGTGAACCAAGGATTGTAAATAATAAAAACCAAAACTAGAGAGAATTGTACTAGAGCTTA